TCTTTCTGGTGCTAATGTTAGTCTTTCTGGTGCTAATGTTAGTATACTGATTACTTGCTTTACCAACATAGAGTCTTATGTAGTAAATTTCTTTCTGGTGCTAATGTTAGTATACTGATTACTTGCTCTACCAATACAGAGTCTTATGTAGTAAATTTCTTTCTGGTGCTAGTGTTAGTGTACTGATTACTTGCTCTACCAACATAGAGTTTTATATAGTAAATTTCTTTCTGGTGCTAATGTTAGTGTACTGATTACTTGCTCTACCAACATAGAGTCTTATGTAGTAAATTTCTTTCTGGTGCTAATGTTAGTATACTGATTACTTGCTCTACCAACATAGAGTCTTATGTAGTAAATTTCTTTCTGGTGCTAATGTTAGTGTACTGATTACTTGATTTACCAACATAGAGTCTTACATAATAAATTTCTGTCTGATGAAGTTAGTATATTTTACAACCTGCTCCATCATAAAGTACCATACAGAAAATTGATAGTTACCAGTCTCTAAGCATACTTACAGCTCTAACATACTTGATAGCTTGCACCACCGAGGTGTCAACATAAAGTAACCGGTGTGCATCGTATGTCACGCGATCATCACGAACGATACTCACGATTTTAATTCTGTGTTGGCGTTGTTACTGAGAGCCTGTTGATAATGTGACGTCAGGTGCCAGCCATCTCACTTGCCTACGAGGAGGCAGAGAGCGATATTATGAAGCGACATCCACGAAACCCGTTCACTGACAAGCTAGTTAACGAAAGGTAACACATCAACAACATAACCTGAGCCTTGACAAAAAAAACTACTACTACTACTACTACACCGATTGATACTTATTTTTATATTGGTCAGAAAGGGTAATCGGTGACACGAACTGTTTTTGATTCTCGAAGCGTGCAGACTGAAAAGTTGCTTTAAATGTTTCTGTAAAAAATTCTCGAACGGCTTCGAGAATTGAATCATAACGGTCGCTCGATCGCTCTCTCCTTTTATTACCTATATTGTCTATATTGGTCGTTACACACTTCTTACTTACACTTCCTATTGGTTATATTGTATAGTAGCTAGTTCGTTCTGTCTCTCGTATGACTATAGTACTCGTTCAAAAACACTGAAAAAAATGACCGAAGAAAAAAAAAGAAGAAAAATCGACACAGACCACGAGAGTCTCTATTTCTTTCTCTTTCTATCTCTTTCTCTCTTTCTCTCTCTCTCTCTTTCTCTCTATCTCTTTCTTGAACGAGCAAAACGCCCATCAGAGACGATTCGTGTGCAAATTAATCCCTAGCCTAAGTCGTCCGCCGGTTTGATTTATCGATATATTAAACGTTGTTTTCTTGTCGTCGTACGTGTTGTTTGTCCGTATTTTGGTGATGGAAGTCTCTTACCGACCAACCAACCCCCTGCTTGAATTCGTTTATTTTATCCAACGAGACACTTATGGTTGTTTGCATCGAGTGTCCATAACCCCCGAGATTACAGAAATTCTTCTGTCGCACGTGCTTTCGTACCAGATACCGACCGTCGTCTGTTACATATACTTTTTTTTTCTTATTTCAACCCCTTGCTTTCGTACGGTCCGATCGTAAAGGCCTGGGTTTAATTTGTTTTCGATGGCTTTTATGGTGTCCCGGACGACCAATACTAACACGAAAGGTAACGGAATGGGGCTGTGCACGCGGGTGCTAACGGGGCATCTGGTGATTGGGTATCCTTTTATTTTTCCTTTACTTTTTGAGCTTCCGAATCTTTTTTATATATTTAAGTCTTCGCAACACGGGCATTTGCCACTCTACGCTGGATCTTGATGATGTTCCGCTCGTTCGCGATTCGATTCTCAAAATAAAAAGCTAATTTTTTTAGCAGGTTAGACGATCAGAGAATGTTACGAATTTAATTTGGTTGAAATTTTGGTCAAAGAATTTAGAGGAGACAGTTTTTTAAATACTAGAGAATTTTAGCAAATATCAATTTTATTAAGTTAATGCACTTTAGGAAAATTAATATGAACTTTAAAAAATGAATGCACTTTAGCAAGTTTAATATGAACTTTGACAAATTAATGTACTTCAGCAAATTTAATATGAATTTTAAGAAATGAATGTAGTTTAGCAAGTTTAATGTAAACTTTGACAAATTAATGTACTTCAGCAAATTTGATATGAATTTTAAGAAATGAATGCAGTTTAGCAAGTTTAATATGAACTTTAACAAATTAATGTACTTCAGCAAATTTAATATGACTTTTAAAAAATGAATGCAGTTTAGCAAGTTTAATATGAACTTTGACAAATTAATGTATTGTAGCAAATTTAATAAGAACTTTAAGAAGTGAATGCAGTTTAGCAAGTTTAATATGAACTTTGACAAATTAATGTATTTCAGCAAATTTAATATGAACTTTAAGAAATGAATGTAGTTTAGCAAGTTTAATGTAAACTTTGACAAATTAATGTACTTCAGCAAATTTAATATGAATTTTAAGAAATGAATGTAGTTTAGCAAGTTTAATGTAAACTTTGACAAATTAGCAAGTTTAATATGAACTTTGACAAATTAATGTACTTCAGCAAATTTGATATGAACTTTAAGAAGTGAATGCAGTTCAGCAAGTTTAATATGAACTTTGAGAAATTAATGTACTTTAGTAATTTTAATATAAATTTTAAGAAATGAATGCAGTTTAGCAAGTTTAATATGAACTTTGAGAAATTAATGTACTTTAGTAATTTTAATATGAATTTTAAGAAGTGAATGCAGGTTAGCAAGTTTAATATGAACTTTGACAAATTAATGTACTTCAGCAAAAGTAATATGAATTTTAAGAAATGAATGCAGTTCAGCAAGTTTAATATAACTTTAAGAAATGAATGCAGTTTAGCAAGTTTAATATGAACTTTAACAAATTAATTTACTTTAAATTTTAAGATGTCTGAATTTAGAGATATGAAATTCATCTTCATCATGAAAGACATCTAAATACTGAAACATAGAAATATAGTATTAGTGATGGGATTTACAGAATAATATACATTTATTGAAATATACATATAACGGTTTTAACAGAAATTCTATCACACATAATATTTACTTACTCGCCCTCTATGACGCATCGATTTATACTAAAACAAAACTGACTAATGTTGACCTATTTATATACAGTTGAAAGAATTTTGATAACCCGAACAATTAGACTAAATTAAATTCGTAGAAAATTGTCTCTATTTTAATAAAAATAATGATAAAGAATCGTAGAACGAGCAATCGTAAAGTTTATCTCTCTCAGGTTGTTTCTCTGCGAAACTACAGAAATTAGCCAATGAAGTTTGCTTTCGATGATTCCGCTTGTAAATTAGTGTCGTTTTTAACGTCAAAGGTAAGCCGATCTCTTTCAAATCTTTCACCTTTCTTTCTATTTTCTCTACACTTCCTTTCTATCTTTATCTTGATTCTTTGTCACCTCCTCAAGCTTTTATTCTCTAAACTCTCCCCGCCTTATTTTTGTAAAACCCCGAAACAAAAAAGATTCGGTTGTCGATCGTCCATGTCGCCGCAAAACAACAGAACAGGAAGTTGAGTACAATGTTTCTCTCTTAATCTTTTTTACGCTCCTGCTAGCGGATGGTCCTCTTTTCTACCCCTTTTT